TAGAGCTCATCCTTGATTTCCTTGTAAGTTTGCCCATCTTGAAATTCTAGGAGGATTGAGAACAGGCGGCTTTCATTAGATGAGTGTTTGAGAAGCCCATGGTGGAGAAGGAGTATATGTAAAATAAAATAACAACTGAGACAGAACAATATTCTTGAATCAGCTGTTGCCATCCCCCCTTTTCCGTCCTCTCTGGGCTGATCCAGTGGCCCTGGAAGAACAATGAAACACCACGAGGACGAGTAAAAAGACAATTCATAACAGACCGCTTCTTCTTTAGATTTCACATTTCAAACCAGAAATAGGAGTTATTGGGGGAATAGACTGAGACACATTAATGTATAAGACAGATTTTTAGCTGATGGGAGAATAAAATCCATGCAAATAATAGAGCCTTGGGAACTTGACATTATTGATGTTACCCTTTCATACTTGACTGAATACATATTTCATTTATCTGAGAAGTCATACCAATATTATACCAGAAGAAATCTAATTTACAATAGACTTCGAGAGTTCTATACACATATTTAGGAAACACTCCCTCCTCACCCCACCCCAACAACGTGAACTTGGTGCACATCTGTTGTGCTGAACTGATTGCCTAAATAATCAGGTAAATGCATATTGACCCATTTGTATCAAGAAACTCTCTTCTCTTCCTTTCCTCTCTCTTCAGAGTGACTGCTGCCTAAAATACCCAGGTATTTTGAAGAAAAGTCTAAATCTTTTACATTGTAGAAAATGTCTTGTTCAATCTTTCTTAGATGCCATACTCATTGGTAAACATATAATAGGTTTTCAGGAATGAATGATGGATTAGTTTCTTGATGACCAGTTATTGACAGGTTGATTTTTAGAAAAGAAAGTAAGACCATGTGCCCACAGTCAGCAAATATCCATGACCCTCCACCGTCCATTAGAACATGCTCTGGGCTGTTTTTCTAGGAATAGAGAGGAATTTGAACTGATTGATCAGCTCTCTGGCTAGTCCTTCCAGTGACCAGTGTTACTTCCCCTCAGGGTGGGGAAGGTCAGAGTTTTTCCACAGTTACCTCCCTTTGTCAAATTTTCTTCCAGTCAGGTGGCTTATTTCAATATTGAACTCAAAAGCAAGAAAGTTAGCATGGATAACAAGCAAGTGAAATGTGGGTGACTCCTAGCTTGTCCATCAGAATTGAGGTATAGTGGAAAGGGTACTCCCTTGAGATTGTGGGTACGAATCCTACCACTGCTGTTTACTAGCTGTGCAACACTGGGCAAGTTACTTAACATCTCTGGCCTCGTCTCTTTACCTTTCAAATGGTGTCAACAATATCTACAACATACAGTTATCATGAAATTAGATGAATATGTGCCATTGATCAGAGGGCGAATTTGGTGAGTTAGTGAACCAGCACAAAAGTTAACTGAATATTTACAAAACATATAAACTTACAAACATGTCATTGTAATTGGAAGAACTCTCACAGAATTTGTAGCAATAGACAATACAGTATTTCTCTGAGTTTCAAGAGGATCTCAATTCTGATGACAGATTGTTTTCATAATAAAGATGTCAGGATGTCTTGAATGGAGCTGGTTTAGCTAAGCCCAGATCAAATGAAGCAAAAGGGACCAGTCAAGATCATTATCTTTACTACTTGCTCTGGAATGTGTTTCTCAAATACGTATTTAGATGAACACATAGTTGTCATAACATACTCCCGCAAGTACCTACATACCCAAGGGACCTCTTTCCCCCTCACCACAGTGCCCTTTTCTTATATATATATATATATATATATTTTTTTTTTTTTTTTTCTTTCGGTACACGGGCCTCTCACTGTTGCGGCCTCTCCCGTTGCGGAGCACAGCCTCCAGACTCACAGGCTCAGCGGCCATGGCTCACGGGCCCAGCCGTTCCGCGGCATGTGGGATCTTCCCAGACCGGGGCACAAACCCGTGTCCCCTGCATCGGCAGGCGGACTCTCAACCACTGCGCCACCAGGGAAGCCCCTCTTCCATGTATTTTAAAGTGACAAGGCTCAATGCAAACTTTTCCCTTCTCAAACATTTAGGGCACTTCCTACCAGAGTTCCCTTTTCTACAAAGTGATTTAGTACTTTACCCTTGTGCCCAGACGCGTGTCATCTCTAGCGTAGAGCTTTGTCTGGAATTTCAGGAGGCGGGAGAAAGAAGATGGTCACAGAGTCTGGGTAAGAGACAGGAAGAATGACAGCTTGCTTATGTGGAGTTTCACCTTCCAGAGCTCTTCCTCCATTTTCTTGACTCCACCAGCATCAAGGCTATTCTCTTTCAGGCCCGGTGTTGTGACAGATTGTCCACATCCATCCTGCTGTTGCCCTGATGACAGTGTGTGGCTTTGCTTCTAGTGGTCCCTTTAGTTTTACAAGCCTGCCTCAGAGAAAAGGGGAGTGGTTAGAATTGGAAGGAGGAGAGGGGATGCTGGGGTACCCTGAGCAGAAGTGGGCAGGCAGCCCCGCTGTGGGACACCAGACCCCTTTTAGGGGAAGGACCTACGTGGAGAATCGGTTAATGAAGATACTCCCACGCATTCCCTCTTCCGCTGAAACGATCGGAGCTGCTGCTTTATCCTCTTTCAGAGGAACAAGGTCAATATGCAGAGGTTGGTGAGGCCTCTCATTTGACTGTTGATTCTCCTGGGCTCATTGCTAAAAAATGCCTCAATGTTTGTCTTCATCTATTTCAGAATTAGAGCATATGGAGAAAATACTTTCTTAGCGGTTTTCATTTTTTTTAAACTTTATTTCTTTAAAAAAAAATACCTATAAACTTTGTTTCCTGGAGCTGATGGCCCTGTAGCTGTGGATTCTGGTATAATTTTCCCCATCCCTCACCCATGGTGGGAGGGAGGGAGATTTAAGCCTCCTCCTTTGTCTGCCACGTTGGTTTCCAGTGCTCTGCCTTGACCACTTAGCGCTCTCTCTGAATAGCTATAGGTCGGGAATAGTGGGCAGGAGCAGCTGAGAAGAGTTGGCGAGAGAACGGAACAGCACCACAGAATAGAAGGCGAGAGGGAAAGAAAGCATCTCGGAGGAAGAAAATACTGCCGCCTGGTACCCCTAGCAGAGATATCCGGCCTTTTGTGCCCACACCACTCGCCCACCGAAGAATTGCAGGCTTCAGTGGTGACAAGCTCAGGCAATGGTGGGAAAGAGAGTGGGCCCCTTCTGGGAGAAATGATTTCAAGCACAGGAAAGCCAAGATGTTTTGAGATATGATGGAGACCTGAGAATGAACCTGGGGGGATGGGACCACTTGGACTGAGAACAGATTAGCCCATTTTTAATGATGGTGAAGTGTTGGAGTGGAGCCTCCCCCATAAGTGGGTATTAATCCTGGGTTTCAAGAAACCCAGGGCAAGGATAAAAGAAGCTAAGTTCATGCGTTAAAGTCAAAATTGGCCTCCTTGTTTGTGGGACTGTAGTTCGTTTTCTCAGGGGGAGAAAGCACGTTAAATTCAGTTACACAAGATCTGGGTTCAAGTTCCCCCTTCACTTTACTTGGTGTTAACTAAGACCTTAGAAAGTTACTTATTTGTTTTTTAATCTGCCTTATAAATTGTTACAAATGAGAACGTAGCAGGTACTAAGTGCTTATTATGAAAATTATGAATAATATGATTCAAATACACATGAAATTATAAGTTGAAGGTCATGGCTTCAGTTCCCATAGAGCTCATTACCATTGTATCAAGATTTGGGGGCAAACCCAGCGAGGTATCTGGCAATCATGGACACTATTTTTTTCAATACTTTACCTTACTCTAAATATCAATACATTGGTATGAACAGGGTCACTACCTACATGTTGAACCACTACTAGAATCTGATACTGATCATTGAAATACAATATAAACTTTTAATACGTTTAGAGAATCATGATTTTAAATAGTAAGGAAAATAGTTTGATTAACTATAATTGGATGATGCTATAATTGGATTTTAGTGTTTTAGCGGATTTGGGGAGGAGGAAGAAGGAAGAGAAGTGAGGAAATGGTTAATGAAACAGAAGAGCCCATATTATTATTAAGATGACTTAATCTCTTGAGAGTTTTGGGTCATTTCCAATTTTTTTCCATCCCAAGAGGTATGGAGATGTGTTCCATTGGCTAGAGCAGTTAGGGAAACCTTCAAAGTCATACCTCCTCTCTCACAGGGGATAATGCCTTGCCTGAGGTAGATTTTGAAGATGTCCTAAAAATGAGGGAAAGAATGTTTCACATGAGATAAGATACTCCAGGCCTATGGGACAAGGTGGAGGAAGACAGAGTGCAAAAATGAGAAGAACCCCACCAACATGATTCTTTTTAAAAAATTGTGATGAGATGAGATAAAATGAAACAACAGGGAAGCTATTCGAGAACTTTGGCCTACTTTAAATGTAAATTGAAGATAAATCAGTAGGTGATTAGAATAGCTGAAATTTTACGTAAATATATCCCAAAAGAAAGACTCCCAAGTACATACATAAAATAATAATTCTTATAAAAGAACTTAATGACAGTTAATCTGTGTGAGTCTGCACAGTGCTCAGAACTTGAGATATGCTTAGATTATTCTGCCAGAAATCTTTTAAGGTATCTCTTCACACACACACACACACACACACACACACACACACACTACTCACTAATTAACACTCACATCTTCCCCAACTAGTAGCAACCTAGGAAAGAATTTGATTGCCCCTTCAAACCATCAGAGAGCCACATGATATCAATTCTTGGGGCAGAAAATAGGTGATCACGTGTTTGCTGACACAGCTGATGCCTAGCCATTCCATGGCTTTTTCCCTTCACCTTTCGTTGACGGCCTGATTAAATTTGGTGCCAAGTTCTCATAACATGTATAAAATCCCATTGCTGGGTGGGAGAGGGTAGGGGAGTGGTGAAGGAAATGCTCTTCCCGTGACCTTCCACTGGAAAATTCCCTGAACTGATTTGCTGAAAATCTCCTTCTGTTTGCCTTCCCCAGGAATGGCGGCCCTAGATAGTAAGGCGTCAGGGAAGATGGGGATGCGAGCTGTAGTCTATTACATGACTACGACCATCATTGCCGTGGTGATTGGCATAATCATTGTCATCATCATCCATCCTGGGAAGGGCACAAAGGAAAACATGCACAGAGAAGGCAAAATTGTACAAGTGACAGCTGCAGACGCCTTCCTGGACTTGATCAGGTACGTCCTTGCAAGCCCATCCTTTTGGGTATATTTTGACCACCCAACTCCTCTTATTGGGGGAGCTGATCAAACCCTAGAAGAGGTATCTGACTCAACCAGTTCTGCTGGGCTTGAAATGAAGGTCACATCTTTACCTCTTTCTAACAGAAATTGAAGTAAGTGTCCGTTTTCTGATCTCATGTGAAAGAGGTGAGAAGAGCAAGGAGAAGATAAGGATTTAAGAGCCCTGCTTTTAGGATTCGGAATCTGAGCACTCAGTCATCCTCTCAACTGTGCAGCTCACCTTGCAATATTACTAGTTCTTTTGTGTGTGTGACTTTTTTACTGAAGTATATTGCTGTACAATTACATATGTTACGGGTGTACAATATAGTGATTCACAGCTTTTACAGGTTATCTTCCATTTATAGTTATTATAACATATTGGCTTTCTTCCCTGCATTGTACCATATATCCTTGTGGCTTATTTTATACCTAATAGTTTGTACCTCTTACTCCCCTACCCCTATATTAGCCCCTCCTTCCCTCTCCCCACTGGTAACCACTAGTTTGTTCTCTATATCTGTGAATCTGCTTCTTTTTTTGTTATAATCACTAATTGGTTGTATTTTTTAGATTCCACATATAAGTGATAATCATATAGTATTTGTCTCTCTCTGTCTGATTTATCTCACTTAACATAATGCCTTTCAATAATTCTTGACCTACTTTTCTCAAGTCTTCCTCTCTAAGGCTACTTTTCTTTCAAGTATAACCTGTTCATTGGACTCTTCTAATGTGGAACTTGTGATCTGTATCATCATCCATTGTACACGACAATTTATTTCCAGAAGGGACTTTAGAGATCATCTGATCATACCTGTCCCAAGGTTTTCCTTTTGTACTATTTGTGAAGAAAGGATTTGGCAGATCAATAATAAAAGACTAAAGGATGGCTTCTTTAGCATTGTTTTATACACAAACAGTACACTGATCACGAATTAGCTTATCTAATACTTGAAACAGACTTGAGGATAGAATATGTTGGACACAGACTGAGAAGTAAGCCCAAGTTTGAGCCTGGCACCTCCCTGCCTGCTCTCTCTCCACACTTGCCTTTGCATCGGTCAGTTGCTCGTAGGAAGCGTATTGCGAGCCCAGAAGGATCACTGAACAGGGTTTGCAAAGGTGTGGGCAGGGTAAAGGGAAGCTACAAGTGATGATGAGACACTAGAGGACTAACAGCAATAGGAAGCTGTTTTGTTACCACCTGTGGCTCTGAGGAAAGGAAGGGAGCCATTACTGGAAGTCAGGACGGGCTGTGTCCTGAGGGAAAGGACCCTCAGGATAGGGGCTACAGCTCTAATTTGGAGGGAGGAAGCTGTTGCCCAACCTGCCAGAGAGAGAGCCGGAAGAATATATACATCCACTTCTCTCCTCCCACTGCCCTGTGATCTGTCAGCGCCTCACACTGGACAAACCCAACAGGAAGCCAGAAGGTGAGGGGTCAGCCTCCCAGGCACAGAGCAGGATGGAGAGTGGATGGAGAAAGGCAAATGGAAGATATCTCAGCACGGACCTCTCAGTGCCCCACCTGCTTAGCATTCCTCCAGCAAGTAGCCCACCCAGGCTGTCCTCCCCAAACCTAGCCCTTTCCTCCCTTCTCTACAACGTACTTGCAGACTGGCTTACCAATCCTAGATACCTACTCTAAAGGATTCCCCACCGACTATCTGAGAGAACCTCCTCCTAGGGACTTGAGTTCACGTGCCATCTCAAGGAATGGGTCTGTGGCTGCTAGATTCAAGAGTGATTTGGGCAACAAAGGGTCTCTTCAGCAGCACCTATCATGAGTGACTTTGTATCATCTGTATGTAAGCACAAGGCAGCCCCACGGTACCTCCCTGAAAGCCCTTTTCAGGGAGTTAATCGCAATTATCCGAAGGTAACAAGTCAGTCTGTATTATTTCATACCAAGCTGGCACCCAATGATAATGACTTTATTTAATTCGTACAATTAATTAAGGCTTTTCACCATTTTTTTTTCAGGAACTTTACCCTCAGGGAGTTTGGATTAGGGGTATTTTATTATATTTTCTTTCTGTATAATTTCTACTCCTTATTTAAAGAATTGGGATCTTGTCATTCTCTGTCTGGTGTGTTTCTGCCCCTCCTTGCCCCAGTGACAAGTGTAAGACTAACCTGTCCCCACCCAGACACCTGGTTCGAGCATTTATCTTGGAATCTCCTAAACTCACTTTTCTCTCAGGGTTTGTAGAAACAGACCCATAGAGCATAGATGGGAAGGACAAAGAAACAGGATGGTCTAGGCCAGGGATCCCCAACTTTTTGGCACCAGGGACCAGTTTCGTGGAAGACAATTTTTCCACGGACGGGGGCTGGGGAGTGGGGATGGTCAGGCGGTAATGCGAGCGATGCCGAGCGGCAGGTGAAGCTTTGCTGGCTGGCCCACTGCTCACCACCTGCTCCACAGCCCGGCGGCTGGGGACCCCTGGTCTAGGCAGTAGGAGGAAACCAGAGTTTATAACCCTAAAATCTGATTGATGACACACACCTGCTGGAATCTCAGACTCTCCAGCTGCCTGGGTCATGTCTCCTTCTCCCGCAGTCTTTAGTCTTGGAGCCCTAGTGATAGTTTACTCCAATCTCCTCTTTAACAGATGAGTCAGCTGAGACCTACATGGGTGCCATGACTTAGCCAAGGTCATACAGCTGGCTAGAGATTCCCCAGCGAGAGTGTTGCCCCTTACTTCTTCCCCACCATGAACACAAACACTGCACTGAGGCAGTAACAAACCCTGCCACATGGGCCTCAAGTTCAAATTTTGTGGGCCCTCTCCCTGTTGGTCACCAAAGAGCCTCAGAAGCTCTAGCAATTCAGAGTCAATATCTCATCCCCCAGAGGGCCTTTGGGAGGACTCTGTGGAGAACAGTCTAACCGTGACGTTTGATTCGGAGCACTTGGTCCTTAAACACATGGCGTGATACCAAAATGGCCATTATTGAATAATACCTCAGTTAACCAGAATGCTTATGATAAAGGCATTTCCATTCTCGCTTGGGTTTTTCCTAGGAGCAGGGTTTGATGTTGGAATGAAAAATCCCATTGTCTGACAAGAGGACAGATGAGTTGAATTCGGGACTTCCTTGAACTACATGGGCCACACTGAGGGATGACCTATGTCCCATTGCATAAGATCCACCAAAATCTTTCTCTTTTTCCATTTGCTGCTTATTTCAGTGCCATCTTTACCTTAGACACAATGAAAAAGTATTTAAGGAACTAATTTATTATTTGGGAATTTTTCAAGTGACCATTATTTTCTTTGCAGGAATATGTTCCCTCCAAATCTGGTGGAAGCTTGCTTTAAACAGGTAAACACAGCTACTAATTCACCTTTAAAATTCCTCTTTGGTGTACCAAACAGAGTAGGGTTCTCTTTTTAATTTAATTTAATTTTTTCCCATTTCTCTGTAGTAAGAAACACTTCTCTTGCCAAGTGGATGGAAAGCACTAGAGTTTTCTGGGGAATTAGGAGAGGAGGGGGGTGGTCTTCCCTGTACTGAAGGCTTAATTAGTTGCCAGACACTGTATGTCTTGCATACAAATGACTCATTAAGTCTCTGTTAATTATTAAGAAGGCTAATCAGGAGACTCTCTCTCCTCTCCCCCATAGCCCATAAACAAAAGCTCACCAAGCAAGCAAACTCCAGTATAAGATATATTTACAGCTTGCTTTAAAGATTAGGGAGATTATTCAAGTTTCTGGGTTTGATTTTAAAAATCAATGGGTTGTTTTTTTAAAAGTCTACTAAGGGCCTTAGAGATTCTAAAGGAGGAACCACATCAGGAAGCACTGCCACCATCATGTATTGAATGTCCCCTCTTTTCCAAGCACTAATGTTATATTTACTCTTCACATAAATATGACGGGTATCATTGTCTTCATTTCATTGATGAGACAACTTATCTATGATAATTCAGAGAGGTTATGTAGTAGGTGTGAGATTTCACAGGTAGTAAATGGCAGACCTGAATTCAAATTCATTGTGTGGATTTCAAATTCCATCCTCTTTCTGCTTCTGCATTCTGTTCTGCTTCCTGGGAAGGGGTATCCAGGCTGATGAGACACCTAGCAGGAGGCCATAGTGAAATCCAGTTCCCTTTAGCCCCAAATCCAAGCAACTCTTGGCTCTCTGTGTTGAAGACACAAATACATTTTACTATTAGGGGATAAAATTAGTAAAGTTCATTCTAACGTCACCTGAACAAAAAAGCTTTGTTGCCCAAGATGTTAAAAGGGAAACAACTAGACATTCTAGTTGTTAAATAATAGCTCCCGAACATTTCTCCAGATGGTGTCACTTCACCCTTGTTGTAATTCCCTAACCCTTGTGCTTGGGATCTGTAAAACAAACAAAATCAAACTCCGAACTCGTGGAGGACCAGGTTTTACACTCTTTGCTTTTTTCCCTTTTTAAAATTTGTATTGACCATTTTTAATAGGTAATGCATGTGCGCACTGCAAAATTCAAACAGAATTCCTTCTTTATTTAAATAAAACAAAAAAAGCCTGCAAGGGCAAAATCTAACTCTCTTTATTCAAAACAACTATAATCATAAATAATAAACCCCTTTCAACCCAGCCAGCCAACCCCAGCACCACGGAGCTGACTATTCCAGTTAGTCAGCTGGCACTAGGTGACATCAAAAATGCTGATTTCTAGCAACGCTGGGAAAAGTGCTGACTCAGGAAGATTTATTGTATTTGGTTTGGGATTGCATTTACAGGATTTTGAAAGGGAAGCAAATGTATCATCCCAGATCTATTTGTCTTAGATCAGAATGCAAATGAGGTTGCAATTTCTGTGTAGGCTGCAAACTGTGTCTAAGGGGAAAGAGTTGGAGGTGTAGGAAAGGCTAATTGGGATTGAAAATTCACCCTAGACAATCCATAAAATGCATAAGCACCCCAGCAGAATAGAGATTTGAGAGCTGACTGACAAAAAGGTGTCAGTTTCTTTGTTAAAATTACGGGCAGTGCCACTGATTGTTTAGGGAATATGTCTACAGTATTGACAGCTGGCCATGTCCTTGTTTGGGAATAGTGCTTTCCCACTGGACAAAAAAGTCTCCCATTTACTCTTTGTAGAGAAATGGCCCAGCCCTTCGTGTACAGCTGTGCTTTCTTCACCTAGACTGTAGATCCAGTCAACATCCGTAGATTATTACTCTCTCTGGTGCTTTATCTCCATCAATGTGAAGGCCAGAAATTCTGCTCTCGTTAAAAATCATAGAGAGATGGGCTTAATTGTTTCAAATAGCCACAGTAATACACTCAGCCCTTTCTGTCTGGGGCCTCTATGCAGAAGCTATAGGGAAAAGACCATCTCTTGAATAAGAGGAGACTCTTCTATAGACTTGAGAACGGGGTTGTCATCCTCAACTATTATTCACCCAACTATTCTTAAGAACTAATACTATCAGGAATACTTTGAAGAATGTTGTTTTGGGGATGTTAAATTGTTTAATATTCACCAAAGTCTCCAACTAAGTCTAGTCCCTGAAGGGCTTTGTTATTGAGCGCCACTAGCCAACATTAGCATAGTGCTTTAAAGTTTACCAGATGTTCTCATATATTCTGTTTAATTTGATCATTACAACAACACTGTGAGGTAGAACCAGCACAGTTATCCCTGTTTCACAGCTGTGGAATATGAGCAAGGGGATGTTAGGTGATTTGTCCATGATCCCCTAACATGAACCCATAGAGGGTAAAGGGGTTATTGTGAATATTTGAATTTATAGTCATTTTATTAGGGTTTCAGAAAAAAGCAGAAGCACTTGTATCTGTTTACTCCATCTTCAACCTCTTTCCTATTATGGTGTGTTGTGTATTTGAGTGTGTGTGTGTGTTTGTCTGTGCTGAGGAAGTAGTAGAGGTTTGTCACAGATTAGATAGATAATAAGTAAATAGATAGAAGATAAATAGATAGATAGATAGATAGACAGACAGACAGGGTAGATAGATACTTTGTGTAACGCTTTTCTCTGAATTTGGGGTAATGTATATCATTATAGAAAATCCGAGCAAAAAGTACAAAAGAAGAAAGCAAAAATTACCTTTAATCCCTGTTGTGCCTTTTCTTTTTAAGTTTAAAACCAACTATGAGAAGAGAAGCTTTAAAGTGCCCATCCAGTCCAATGAAACACTTGTGGGTGCCGTGATAAATAATGTGTCAGAGGCCATGGAGACTCTGACGAGGATCACAGAGGAGTTAGTCCCAGTGCCAGGGTCTGTGAATGGGGTCAATGCCCTGGGACTAGTTGTCTTCTCCATGTGCTTCGGATTTGTGATTGGAAACATGAAGGAGCAGGGCCAGGCCCTGAGAGAGTTCTTTGATTCTCTTAACGAAGCCATCATGAGATTGGTAGCGGTGATAATGTGGTATGTATTTCCATTTGCTATGTATGCTATCTAGAAGATGCTTATTGCCATCAACTTGTGTTCTGTACTGAGGAAGATGCCACCAGGCAGGATGGCCAATTGCAATGATCTCATTCGGATAAGCACAAGAAAATCAGTAACTTTCTGGGCTGGTAGTGGCCTTGAACATATCTGCAAGCCTGTCTGCATAAGTTTGCTTCCTTGTTTTTGAAAAGTGTCAACTCCCTTACTCCAGCACTGATGGGATACCATTCCTCATCCCTCCATTTGATAACTAATTAGTTATTCATTCTCCTATTGATTGTCTCCTGTATACCAAGCATTTAATGCCAGGTGCCATGGATATAGCAATGAAGAAGACAGACAAGGATGTCCTGGATCTTACATTCTCTTTTTTAAAAATCTTTTCCACTACAGTTTATGACAAGATATCGAATATAGTTCCCTGTGCTATACAGTAGGACCTTGTGTGGATCTTACATTCTTAAACAAACAAACAAATCATCCATGTGCTTTAGTCACAAGTGCTATGGAAAAAAATAATAATAAAACATGAGGTTTTCTTTCACGTAATATGATGTGAGGTGATAAAAAGTGACTGGAGCAGAGGCTTAAAATTTGCCTTGGATGGGACAGAAAGGCCTCTGAGGAGGTGGGTGATCAGCTAGCCATACAAAGTACTGAGAGAAGAGCATTCCCAGGAGAGGGAAAAACCCCTAGACCATCAGAAAAACCGAGCTCTGCTCTCCTCCATTTCAGTCCTAAGAAAGAAGTGTAAATAGCCACTCTGCGTCAAGCCTGAAGGACTCACGGGAAGTATTATGGAAGGCCAAGCCACAATTTATAACACAACTTCCTTCAAAGAAAGTTGAGAGCAGGAGACAAAGGAAAAGACTAAATCCACAGAGGAACATTGACCTTGGAAAGTAAACTCTCCCCAGCAGGGAGAGAACCCTGTGATAGGTTTAAGCCTCCTGTGAGGGTTGCTTTCCCTTTTTCCTTTGTTTTAAATCCAGACTCCCTCTTGGCACCTGAGGCAGGAAAACATCCATTTCTAAGAAAAGCCCTCACCATCATGATTAAAAATATCCTTTGTCTTTATTGCCCCCAAAGCCCAGAGAAATCCATTTTTCAGGAGTTTGTTCAAGAAGGATATGAACTTGGGGGCACAAAGATGATCAGAATGTCGTCTCCCCAGGAGTCCCCATTGAAATGCTGGGGGCCCTCCTTGGAAATCTTGGCAGAGCTGAAAGTGGACATTTATCTTCATATTATTAAAATGCCTCCACCTTTCACCTCTTTTATGAAAGAAGCCTATTCAAGGCTGCTGAATGAACCTCACATGTAGCTTTTCTAGCTGTACGTTTGCCTGCACACTCAGCATTGAGTTATTACATTTCTGAAAACAGGTACTCTTATAATTTCCTGGCCTGTGTTTTTAAAGGACTTTTCAAAGAACCATTGTATTTTTCAATATGAAATAAGTCCTCCACAGTTCCCAGCAGACCCTTCTCCTGAAGGGTGATCAGCTTCTCTGTTTTGGGTAATGTGAGTTGGGTTGTAGTTTACAGCACACATCGGACAAAGAGAGCGGGGCCTTGATTCAATGTGTACAAGACATTTCATGTCTCCGTTGTTCATTCTTTCGAGTCTACAGGCGAAAGATCACAAATGGCAGTAGCAGCCTGTGGGTAATAATTACTTAACTAGAACACCCATAACCTGATTGTGGTAGTACAAACATGCATGTTATTAACTTTGATAGCTCTGAATTTATTTTATGATTGCCTTCTACTTATGGCAAATGGTGCTAGTTTTTCATTTGCATTGTAACATACAATTTCCTCTTAGAGTACATTTATTTAAATAAAAAAAGATTGATACTAAGTAATACTGTACGTAGTGTGTAATATGGGAAAAACTAATAAAAGTTGTCCTTGATTAAGAGAGCTGTCCGCAAATCTAAAACACTGAAATGCCATCGTGTGCATCTTGCTTTAGCTTGGGAGTCAGGCTCCGACGTGGGAAATGCTCCCAGAAGTCCGGATATTGGTTTGGTGGATTCTGACTGTTCAGAGTACTTAGCAGGGGAGCAGGAGACAGCAGGATGGGGGGATGGTGGCATCTGAGGACCCCCAAAGTGACCCAGGTGTGGTGAAATGACAGTTATTTAGGAAAAAAAAGAGGTGAGTAGCAAAACCTCTGAACCTGCCTTTTTTTTCTGGTTTAGGAGAAAAAAAGAATTGTGACCTAGAGAAATTCTGAGTGAGAGGAAAGCCTAATTATGCACTAGTTATATTTAAATTTATATTTTAAAAAAGAAAAGAAAGAAGTTCATAGTTTCTGCAAGTCCTCATAGTATTCTGCGCAGAGAAGTTTGGAAGTCAACCCTCTGACTTTTTCTTATCACTTGGTAATTTCTGTGGAATAGCTTGTTGGAAATCAGACTTCCAACTGTGCGTGTGTTGCTTCTGCATAGGTACGCCCCTCTGGGCATCCTCTTCCTGATTGCAGGGAAAATTGTTGAGATGGAAGACATGGGAGTCATTGGCGGGCAGCTTGCCATGTACACAGTGACAGTCATCGTGGGCTTACTCATCCATGCGGTCATTGTCCTGCCCCTCCTCTACTTCTTGGTAACACGGAAAAACCCCTGGGTTTTCATCGGCGGGTTGCTGCAAGCGCTCATCACGGCTCTGGGAACCTCCTCCAGGTACGCATACATCCGTGGCTTATTTCTATCAGAAAATGTATCTCAAACTTTACTTTGAACCAGAACCTTCAGACTGAGGGGCGGGGGTGTGTTTTTCCAGGTTTTAAATGTCCAGACATAGGAATTGGCTTTTTGACTCCAATGCTAGTCAGACCTAGTTGGGATTCAAAGACTAGCTGGCTATATACCCTTTCAGGGGACAAAATGGAAATCAGCTATCCTTTCCTGCCCGTTCTCATCTTCCTCGTCCAGTTGCCATTTGCCTAAGGGAGAGATGGCCGAGCGTTGGCACAGGCTCTTGTTGGGGGATGGGGAGTAATCACAAGTGATGCCTCACAGAGGACTCCAGAAGCAGGGGAGCTGCCAAATGACCCCGTGAGGGGACCCACTGTCCCTAGCCCTGTTCCCCTATTTATACTAGTGCTGACTTAGTTCCCTTTCACTTAGGATATGGGAAAGGAAGGAACTCTCTGTCCAAAATACCAAAACGGACAGGCACAGTCTGAACTGTCAGGATGGTCAGCTGACATGTCCTGTTTTACTGTGCTCAGCTCTGCCACCCTACCCATCACCTTCAAGTGCCTGGAAGAGAACAATGGCGTGGACAAACGTGTCACCAGATTCGTGCTCCCAGTAGGGGCCACCATTAACATGGATGGGACGGCCCTCTATGAGGCTTTGGCTGCCATTTTCATTGCGCAAGTTAACAACTTCGACCTGAACTTTGGACAGATTATTACAATCAGGTACAAGGAACATTCTATACGACCTTTTCTTAAGAACGACTTTAAATGATGAGCCGGCGATCAGGGCTTGAGTGAAGAAACTGGGAGAGGGGACTCTTCATAGGAACAGTGTTATTTTTGATATTTAGAGATTTTTACTTTTTTAAACTACAGATGTGCATATTTATTAATAATGAATTTCTAATAATACAGAAATGTATAAAGTAAAAAGTGAAACTTGTCTGCCACCATGACTCCTCATCTTTCTGTAGGTGGCCAGGGTTACTGTTTGGTGTACAAAGACCTTTTCCAATGCACAGACATACACACATTTTTTTTTTTTTTTAGTTAATGGAATCATACCATACATACTGCTTGCCACTTGATTGATTTACTCATCCGTATACCATCTATAAACATATCCAGCTCTTCCTTTTTAAAATCTGTAGAATACATAGTATGGATATTTCTCTTTTTAAAAAATGTTAAACTTCAATAAAAGGCATTGAAATTTTAGCTTTTATTATTCATTAGCTTTTATTGAAAAAATTAGAAAATAAAAATACATTTCAAAAACTGGATTAACATTTTCTCTTGGGTTAACTTTTAGGCAGTATATATGACAGAGCACACTGACAAATAGGTTGAGAATTTTCCTTTTGTGGACTATTTTTTTAACTTTTTTTTTTTTTTTTTTCGGTACGTGAGCCTCTCACTGTTGTGGCCTCTCCCGTTGCGGAGCACAGGCTCCGGACGCGCAGGCTCAGCGGCCATGGCTCACGGGCCCAGCCGCTCCGCGGCATGTGGGATCTTCCCAGACCGGGGCACGAATCCGTGTCCCCTGCATCGGCAGGCGGACTCTCAACCACTGCGCCACCAGGGAAGCCCTATTTTTTAACTATTATTTGAGCTGTCTAGTGAAAGGTAATTTTCCTTCTCCTACCTTCCACTAATCTCTTAGTTTCCTTCTCCAGGGGCAACCACTGTTGCTTGCTGGTTTCTTTTGTATCCTTCTGGAGACAGTCCAGGCATATCCATGTGCGCATGTGAATATCGTCCCTTCGTTTTGCTTAATGAAAGTCATCGTGCACAACAGACCAATGAGTATAATGGAGACAAAATCTCACAATCCAGATCAGACCCTGCTCTTTAGTGTGTGTGTGTGTGTGTGTGTGTGTGTGTGTTTTAATTATTATTAACAATTCAATTTGGAAATCAAAATAAATTAGTTTTTTCACAACAGTTTTATTATAAATTGTCTTATACATAGGAAAGTTTAAAGAATATTACAACACACATATTCTACCTAGAACCAACAACTGTTAACGTTTTGCCATTTTTGCTTCTTTCATTGTACATAGTTCAGCATGCATCACCTAAGAATAAAGATAGTTTCCTACATAACCACAATAGTAAGATTCTTAAAAACACTTCTGGAATATCCAGCCTATATTCAAATTTCCCCAGTTGTTTCAAAATATCTTGTATAGCTTTTTCCACAGACTAAGATCAAATCCAGGTTTACGGCTTGTATTTGGTTTTTATGTCACTTTAGTCTTTTTAAATCTCTATCAGTTCCCTCACATTTGTGTGTGTATGTCTATATATGTTTATTTAGAAATAATTTATGTCAGACTCTGTATACATATTTTGTACTATTGGGAAATGATAATAGTTGTAGGATGCATTGGGATAAAAATGATGGGGCTGATCATGGCCAGAGGTGACGGACCTGGAGGTTCTGGGAGCCCCAGGCCCAGTCTAGCTAAACTGGGGCTGGGAGCTCAATATCTCAGTTCACTATAACCTATTCTCGGGCATACCTTGACATACTGGTTGAAAAGCCCTGCGTTATGAAAAAGTTTCAGTTGCGTGTGTCAGAGTTAAAAATAATAATAACAATTATAGTGACTTCAACAAGATAGAACTGTACTTCTCTCTCATGTGGAGCAGCTCCACTCCACAAAGCCCTCCAGGCTGGTAGGTGTTCTACAGTGTAAGGGACCAAAACTTGTGGTTCTATCATCCCCGGGGTATCACCCTCATCCAGGTGGTCCAGGATGGCTCAACATCACCTCCAAATTTTAGCCAGTGGGAGGAGGAGGAGGAATGACACAACCTACAATTTGCTTGATCACTTTCACCTATGTCTTATTGGCCAGAACTTAGTTTAAGCTCCAAGGGAGGCTGGGAAATATAGTTTCATTGTGGGCGGCCATACACCAGCTAAACATTCTAGTACATTCTATACAAGGGGAACAATCTAAACATTCTAAACATTCTAAACAATCTAAATTCTAAACAATCTAAACATCTAAACATCTAAACATTCTATACAAGGGGAACAATGCAGGGGAACTATGAAGTCTCTTCCACAGGCTTATTACTTTATGAATACCACTTTATAACTAGGTAATACTTTATTATTCAAAAAATATTTTCACATTCTCACGTAAGCCTATCAAATAGATATTTAACAAACTGAGTCCCAGACAGGTTATGTGCCTTACAAATGAGGTTCACACTGCCTCCATAAAAAATATTGCTAGTAAAAAAAAAAATATATATATATATATATATTGCTAGTGCTACAGAACCTTGTTCATAAATCATTTTGCTTTTGAATTAATAAATTTGATTTTTTTCTGACCAAAGTAACCATACTGTAAAGTTCAGTATCTTTACAACCCTCTGCTTGGATAGGGGAATTATTAGAAACAAATTGTTTTTGTAACTGTACAGTATTTTAGACCTTGCAAAATACTTCCAGGTACGTGAAAAAGTATATAGGCACAAGTTTCCTCATTTAGAAACAGCTGTAAGAACAGGACCAACTTCCTAAGGGTTGTTGTGAGAAACAAATGAGGTAATCCATGCTTAACAAATCAGGAGGCACGTAATAGGCATTTGATAAATATCAGTTAATATGATTATTAGCTCAATGGGTTTTACACCATCTCACTTACAGTTTTCTAAAGCACGTCCTCTTATGTTAACTTGGCAAGTCAGACATCGCCCCTATGCATGTTTTACAGGGTCTGCTCTCTATCTCGGGAGATTTAAACAAATGTTTTCTGTTTGGGGACTTCCTCTAACAGTATCACAGCCACGGCTGCCAGTATCGGGGCAGCTGGGATTCCTCAGGCGGGCCTGGTCACCATGGTCATCGTGCTGACATCTGTGGGCCTGCCCACCGACGACATCACGCTCATCATCGCAGTGGACTGGTTCCTGTGAGTACGCTCGGACTGCATTCGGCTTGCTGTCGTGGGGCTCTCCTCTGTCATCCTAGGGCACCAGCAGCCTGGCGCCCCTGCCAAAGGGCTCCATGAAGAGGGGAGGCTTGGCCTGTAATTAAATTGTCCTCCCTGCCTGATCCCTGCCATCATCTGGCCACCAAGCCCCGGGCGCCATGCACACTCTCCCTTATCAGCCTTCGGGGCACATCTGGCTGCTACGCTTCTCGCTCTATAAAACCATTCGGGGATTGGGAAACCCGTTGTCTACAAAGCCAACATAAATCAGCAAAGCCATTTCTGAATTGCACAACACATCCCCATGGCGGCTGGGACCGAACAGCGGGCCTCCCAGGCTGCCTCAGGCTTTCTTCTTGTGCTTCCCATTCCAATGGCATAATATAGTGCAGATGTTCCCATCTGACCCCAACAGCGAGTGGGGCAGCTGTGCAGACAGTGGGAAGAGAGCTGGCGTCATTAAGTGGAATTGATTTTTGGTTCTGAGGAAAGTTTCAAGAAAAGCGCCCTCAGACCCTAACCTCTAGGGCCCACCCCTCTGCCCTTTTTCCCTCACCCTTCCAGCTAACATTCTCTGCCTCTTTTCTTTTCCTTCCATTTACAATTGCTCCCCAGGATGCCCAAGGTGACAGCCTAGAAGGACACAGTAGGTGTTGGAGTCTACATAGACTCCATGAGGTAGATCTAATGGCCACAAAAAGTTCAGTGTTCTCAAGGCACAATAAGTGGGGGGAAGATAATTACTTGAGAGCATGAGTTCCATGGTCACTTGGATCTGGGTTTGTGTCCTGCCCCTGTGTGGCACCGGCCAGATTACCCAGCCACCCTACTTTCCTTCTCTGCAGAATGAAGTCAATAATGTCGTCTACCTCCCGGTGGTGCTGTGAGAATTAAATGCATTGACACATGGAAAGCATTCAGCTCACTGTCTGGCCCACAGCCACTACTTGACTCATGTGAAGACTTTTATAATATAAAGCTGTGGTTCTCAAAGTTTTTAGTCTCACAACCCCTTTACACTTAAAAATTGACGACCCCCAAAGCTTTTATCTGTGTGGGTCATATCTATCAATATTTATCATGTTAGAAAAACTTAGGCATTTTTTAAATGTTAAATTCATTTAAAGGTTACAATAATCCATTCATTACATGTTAACATATATAACATTTTTATGGAAAAATATCATTTTCCAAACCAAAAATTTAGGGAAAAGAATGATACCATTTTACATTTTTGCAAATCTCCTTAATGTCTAGCTTAATACAAGACTAACTGCTTCTGCATTCAATCTGTTGTGTTATCTTTGGTGTTGTGTTGTTTGTTCGAAAAATTCCACTAGACAGACATTCATGAGAAAATGAGAGGGAAAAGGGCAAATAACATCTTAGCATTATTATGAAAATTGTTTTTGCCTCAGGGACCCCCAGGGGTCTCTAGATCACACTTCTGAGACCTTCTGGTAAAAGGAAAGTGAGTGGTAGGAAAGAGAACCAAAGAAAAATTTTAAATAAAAGGAGAAAGGGGAGGGTCATTCCTACTGTTGATACTCTAATTAGTAACTGAAAATTAATACTAATATATATCCTTAGTTATAAGTTATATAAGTTATTAATTATACGGATATATATTAGTAACTACAATTTTGAATGTTATGTGTCTATTATGGAATGATGCAGTGGGTGGCTACACCAAGCAGAATTTTAAGAGATGCCCCCAGTGACTTAGCCAGCTGGTTCAAAACATGAGCTGAAATCCCGTGATGTTCACAGGAGCCTCGCTTTTCCTTCCACCCCTCCCTTCCCCAGGGACCGTCTTCGTACTACCACCAACGTGCTGGGAGACTCCCTGGGAGCCGGCATTGTTGAACACTTGTCACGACATGAACTGAAGAACCGGGACGTCGAAATGGGTAACTCAGTGATTGAAGAGAATGAAATGAAGAAACCATATCAGCTGATTGCCCAGGAAAGCGAAATTGAGAAATCCATTGATAGTGAGACCAAGATGTAGACTAACACAAAGAAATGCTTCCTAGAGCACCAGGTGTTTGAAAACCATTATACAATGTTTCCATCTCATTTCAACTCATTCTCTCCAGTCAGCCCTTTACCTCCCTTTTCCTCCCTGCCCTGATAGGATTGGGAAATATTCATCCAAAAACAAGGGGGGATTTTGCAGTGGCCAAAATGTATAGTTTTCATCCCATGTTTGAAATTTTTAAGTCATTTCATGTTAGTCTTATCTAATAAGGTACTGAGATCAAAAATAGTCTTGATCAGATCTTACAAGTTTATGTGGCACGCAATCCTGTAAATGTGATAGTTCTTACAAATTAAAGAGTCAAAACAAATACTAGGCTAAAAACATGGTTTTAAATCAACTTTCAGAATTTAAGAATCCTTCAGAATACAATTCAGTTTTAGTATCAAGACAAAACAACTTGATCAGCAATGGGTTATCGGTTGGTCATTACAAGGGTTTTTTTTTTTCCTTTCTCTTATGATTTGTGTCCTTATTTTATTAGTAGCAGGACAATACAAATACACACCCAGCACAGCTGTGAGGAGGCGCAGAAAGTGAAATTTCCATGTGGCCATGGGCAAGTTACGTCTCATCTCTAGGCCTCAGTGTTCCCATCTGTAAAATGAGCGAGTTCCTTAGATGCCTTTATGGTCGATTCTCACCCAAAAATCCTGTGGCACCGTAAAAGAGCCTGCCCTCCATTTCCCCAGAGAACATCCTGTAGCAAGTCTCATTCCATGGAGCGTGAGACTTTCAGAATAGACATTTATTGGGAACGAACATTTCTAAGTGGGGGCAGGATGGCTGTGTGGTTTACCAGATCCTGGGTCCAAAATGTCAGTTACACAAGTCACCTGGCTGGAGGCCCTTCCAGGAGTGGAATTGTTCACGAAACTCTGCTTAGTTCTTCCCAACAGGGGAAGTATTCCCTTCTTTCCTACTCTTCACAAACTAAAGGGACTACTTTGGGAAGGATATCTCCCACCACTCCTCAACTGACCATAGACTTTTAGAAAATAAAACGTAAGACTAGCAACTTAGCAAGGGTGCTCACGGTCTTACTATGGAACACTAAAGATCGCCAGGAAAGAACGGAGCATGGCTGACATTATAAAGAGAGGATTTTAAAACACCAAGATTATAAGTCATCTTTAAGGAAGGTTTTTTTTAAAAGGAGAGGTTCTTTTTTTTTTTTTTTTTTTTAACCTGAAACACTTTTTCTTTTCAGTTCAAAAATCATTCCTTAAGGAAGTCTGCAGATCAAAATATAAGGTCACTTCTTATACGTTTTAAAGAAGTCAAATGAATGAGCTCTCTCTCCACTAGAGGTCCATGAACCGGGTGGGTGGTCTCTTATTTGAAAAGGTTTTTGACTATCATCAAAAGTTCTTAGAATGACAGAAACAAGATATCTCTTTGTGTTGGAACTCCATTCACCAAATCATTTAAAACCTTCAGCTGAAGTGGGGTTTGGTTTGGTTTGGTTTGCGTCCCTGAGAGAAACCGTAGAAGATGAATCAGTATGAAGTCATGTCAGTGTGGTTCCAAGACAAAAAAAACACTAGGGGTATTAGTTTCAGGCAAGGCAGCTACCAGGTTTAGAGGAGATTATTTTTTTACCCTCTAAGGAGTATCCAGTCAAAGATGTGAAGTGCGAGCTGTCAGACAATACCAGCTGTGTTTGAGTTTCTGACTGAAAATGGTGAGGAATGGACTTAATTATGCTAACAGATTGAAAATCTAGACATACATCCTCTGATATACAATTAGAGATGTTTTTACATAGATCGCGAGCATTACATACATGTGTACAAAAGTTAACATTAGGCTGTGGTAGAGTAACCATTTAATGTCAAGGCTCTATTTGGGAAATACACTACAAAAGTTAATGTACATGGCTGTCATGACACCAGTAGAGTAAAAATTAATCGTGTCAAATTAACTGTTACACAATGTGATCTTTTTTATACTAACCATCTCTTATGGAAAGCAGGTCCTCTGGGATGACCCTCTTGCCAGCCCATCACAGGCTCTGCATATTACATGCACCCAGTGTGGACTGAGAAGCATTACCTTGTAGATGTATTTTCAATAAAGAAAAAAATTAGTTTTACATTATACTTTTGCATGTTGTTATTGTTCTTCTCCCTGAAGGAAAATAAAATTTTCATTCATGGAAGTATTGCAATGAGTTCAGGACAATGCTGGGAAGGATGCCATGCAGATTTTTTTTTTTTTTTTAAGATTTTACTAGGTAAAATCTTGGAAGGCCCAGCTGGGGAAGCCAACCACAGGAAAATAAATAAGGACACACTCTCCCTGCCCAACTCCTAGAACTGGAAACAGGAGGAGGTGAGGGAAGCACTTTGCTGTAACAGCATGCATTTACTTGTTCACCTCAGATTCAGATTTCTCCAATAAATTGAATCATTTCCATGTTGGGATTAATTAGAAAAGTGTAATGCCACCATTGGTTCTTCCAAAAAAAGTAATTTCCTGTCTGACCTTCAAATTAGGTAGGTAGATTTATCTATGTGATTACTGCTGCCATTTGTGAAAAGAGCTGAATAAGGTCTCAAGGGATATTTCAGAAACAGCCAATGTGCAAGTGAACCGTTCTAGTCATAAAGCACGAGTTACGACAACTGCTTTTTTTTTTTTTTCTGTCATGCTTCTTAACAGAGGACTGAGAGGCAATATCATGAAATGCCCAGACCGAAGTTGTGTCTAGAGACATTTTAATCTGACCTTCTACTAGCAGGTGACAGCCATCTAGAGGAGGGGCTCTAAGTATGATCCACAAACCCCTAGATCATCCATGTGAAAGTGAGTTCTAATAGCCCTTGAAAGTGTGGGGAGAGTTTTGTGCATTTGCCTTTTTCTGGGGGAGAAATCCTTAATTTCCATCAATTTCTCTAAAGGATCTTTTGACCAAAACATTTACCAATCACTGTTTGATTAACTTTTTACAAGGCATCTATGGTATTGGACTGGCTGACTGGGGAAACGCTCACAGCCTGAGGGCATCAAACCAGCTCTCACCACCCTGAGGGAATCCCGATCTATGGGACTTTCTGGATAAAGAAGCAATCGGGGAGGTGCCACCAGAAACTGAGTCCAGCCCTAGGAAGTGCTTCTTCCTGCAATCACCAGTTTCCTTCCAGTCGCAGCCGAAGCTGCATTTTGCCTCCACCCCCCCCCACCCCCATGACCACAGTCACGCCTGCGAAGCTGTTCATCAGCCTGTGGAAGATCTGGTGATGCCATTAGGGCTGAGGGACGTGGCAGCCCTGTCAGGGTGTGACTAAGGTGATGGGGAAGCCCGCAGAGATCCCTCTGTGTGGTAGGTCACAGATCTGTTCACAAATGGAACTTTGGAAAATTTTCAGATTAACGGGTTTTTTTGAACGTTTCTGATGAGTAAATACGCTAACAATTTTTTTTAAATCCTACACTGTGAGAAGTTGGGGGTCTGTGTGCTTCCCATATTTATGCCTTCAGCAGCACTGTCTCACCCCAAGCAGGATTCCCTTTCCCGGTAAAATCCTTTTTTTTTTTTTTCTTTTGGTAAGCCTTTATTCATATACAGAGTGTTGAAAATAGAGGTTTTGGTGCCGTTAATTGCGTGCGTCTGAAGGAAGGGCTCATTTCCCGCTGGAAGGGGCAGGGGGAGGGGGAGGGGAGCACACGCCCTCCTTCCGGGTGGCCCGCCGGGCACTTGACCTGAGGCTGCTGTCAATCATCCGGTCTCCGCGGCGGCGTGCTGCCCCTTCTCCCGCTCGGGTGGTCCCAGAACTGGGGCAACAATGACCAGCTCTGTGTGGCCTGTTCCGGGGGCCAGAGCAGTTGGGAGGTGTCATGCCATGCCGAAAGCAGTCTCCGAATGAATAAGCCATCAGAAAAAGCAGGGAAGGAAGAGCGGAGGAAGCCGATGGGCCGAGTTCTAAGAGGGAAAGTGAGAGATGAGAAATGTCTGGGGTAAATGAGGCAGGGTCTGGGGGAGCGATACCCACAATAGCCACCGGGGGGAGCCCGGAACTCTCCGCAGGAAAGAACTGAACTTCCTCTTAGAGAACTCGCTTGGATGAGCTCAGTATGAAATTCCAAGGTCTGCCGTGCAGAGGGAAGATCAGTATGTGAAAGCCATCAAGGGGTTTAAAATTCTTCCCCGCCCCATTTCTCCTTTCCCTCTGGTCATCCTGCTTCTCCAGTCCTCTCTCCCAGGAGCCCCTTCCTTTCTGGGTATTCTCTGTTTCCTCTCCCCTGTGCCCTGCCTCTCTCCCCTCCCACCTCCTTTTTTGATGCCATCCTGTTCTAGATAATTATCTTCCCATCCCATCACTTACGTTTCCTAAGCACAGAGCAGGTTCTCAGTAAGTGGCTCGATAGCTGGTCTTCCCTCATCATGCCCACAAAACTGGTGTCTCAGTCTTCAATGTGGAAACAGTCTCATTTTACCGAACATACACGAACAAGTAGGATTGTTAGATAAAATACAAGACACCAGTTAAATATGAATAGTAACAAATAATGTTTTAGTGTATGTTCCAAAATACTGTATTTTTTTGGTTAATTTGGCAACCCTACGTACAAGCAAAATGAAGAACTCAAGACAATTTATGTTTGCTTCGATGAAGAGGATATTATAGGTGAGTTTGTGTGATTATTAAAAATAATCATCCTAATTTTTAATTCCTCTTTGCAGACAAAAACATGCTTTAAAAGACAGTCCAGATCTGGGACTCTTCTTACTATTTATTTGTTTTGGGGGCATTATCACTCACTATGTGCTTGTAAATCTTGTTGCTGCGTTTAAAAAGCCTGATCGATCACCTTTAAGACTTCACAGAACGATCTTAAATAGATTAAACAATGTTTCAGTTATCCATGCTTGAAATATTTTAAGACTCACATCTGTTTTTCTTTTCTTTTTTTTTCCCCCTTTCCTTTTCTCACTCCTTCCTCCTGTTCTCCCCTGCCCACCCCCCCAACTCCAAACATAAAATATTTTCTGTAATCCGTTACAGGACTGAACAATTTGGCATTCACATATTGTTTTCCAATGTGAACATATTTTTTTCATTTGGGGTGCTCTTTCTAGAAATGCACCCATATTCTTTTCATATTGTGCTACTCAAAGACCATCATTTTCCAGTCATTGTGAAGTTCGGAAGGAGGCATTTTTCAAAGTCTTTTGAGGGAACTCTAGCCTCCGTGAATGGGCATCATTCCCACAAAAGCCGCTTCTTTCAGCTGAGGCTGTAGGATATAAAAAAGCGGGGCCCAATCGGTACTGCAGAAGGAGCACAAAATATGCCCCTTTAAATCATAAATTCTTTCCCAGTAATCACATACGTGCAGCCAGGTTAAAGACAACAGTGTGTCTCACAGAAGACGGGTGTCAGATGACAACTTTTGGATTTCCTTTCCAAGTCTGTAGGTCCAGGGGATCATTAAAGAGAAAAAAAAAAAAAAAAAAAACGTTGAAGGCAGCCAGCCGGGAACTTGAAGACATAGCAGGAGAAAATAAAGACCATCCAAGGGTCATCTCAGCCCCAAAAGGAAATGATGATCGGTCTGCCCTGGGGAGAACTTAGCATTCAAAAGTTCTGTCAGCAACACAAGTCTGAAAACTGTCACCAAATTCCATGGCCTTGGCACTACAGGGCCTCAGTGAGGTATTGTTTCACGTAAGCTGATGATGAGCCGTTAACCAAAGAAGCAGAATGTCTACATGTGTGTTAGAAAACTAACACAGCTAGACTAAAAGCACCTTCATGCTTCCTAAAACTTAAAGGCCCTCAGCTTCAGAGTGGTGGTTGAATCCCAACCTATTAACCCTAAATTCTTGAGCAGTTTCATCAAGGTCCCTGGACTGTCTTGGTTAACTCTGGAACATAATCTATTGGATTCGTGGTGATGGTAGTTACCTGGATGAGGAAATGTGAGTTCAAGTTCCTGACTTGCTTTTAACCGACTGTGGTACCTTGACCTAATCCTTCAGTCTCCCTGTATGTCCTCATCTGTACATGTGAAGGTTGGCTGAAACCTGAAGTCTCCAAACCAGTTTTCATATCAGGTTTCCATATATTGGAGGAGGTTGAATGGGGCTCCGTGGTCAACTAAGCTTGGCACGTGTTGGATCAGACTTCAACTCCCTCAACATCAATAGGTATAATAAGACCATGAGGTGTAACGAGAATTAAATAAATGATAATATAAAATTCTCAGCACAGCTTCTGGCACTTAGGAAGATTCTTAAGACGTTTAGGACAAAACCGTCTCAATGAGAAAAGAAGAGGCCTAGGGATGATGCTGGAGGAGGGGAGAGTGGTTCCCAGCTCCGTCTGGGCCCACCAGAGCAGGAAGGAACTCACCGAGGAGGCCACAGACCAACCTCTCCTCCGAGGGAGGCTTTGCAGGGTCAATCACCCCTAGAAACGGGCATCCTGAGAAACTGCCAGGCCGGAGGGGCCCAGGTCTCTGCGCGCGCCCGGGGCACAGGCAACCACTGCCAGTCTCCTCCCGGCCTTTGTCAGGCCCGGCTCTCCAGCGTTGCGTGGCGATTTTTCAAGGGCACAATTCGACACTCTGAGGGGACCACCCAGCTTTCTCCCGGTCTCCCAGAGAACAAAACCACCACTCTGTGTGCCAACGACCTCCCCTTCTGCCAGGCCCCCTCCTGCCATCTCCTCCCTGCCAAGGGGAAATGGAGAGGCAGTCAGGCCCACACTCTGTGGGAACCCAGGGGCCAGTGTGCTAATGAGCTGTCCCCAGCTCCAAGCCAAACTCTCTGTACCTGGGATGCTGCTGCCACCCTGTGGCAAAGGTCTTTCTCTAGGCTCCGGATGGCCACGCCAGACGATGCGGAAACACCAGGCATTTACTGCAAACTCATTTCTGATGCACTCAAGCAGAGGCTATAGAGACGGAAAATAGCTCAGAAGTCTGAAAGAAAAAGGAACTTGAAGTATTGTACATCTACAGAAGTGATTCTCCAAGTGTGGTCCCCGGACCAGCGCTATCAGTATCCCCTGGGAACTTATTAGAAATGCAAATTCTCAGATCCAACCCTTGACCTATAGAATCAGAAACTCAGAGGGTAGAGCCCAGCAGTC